ACTGCTGCTCAGGGACTGGCTGGGCATCGGTCGGCAGGTGGTGAGCAATTGCATTGTGCATCACTTGTTTTGTATATTCTATTATTATTATTATTACTATTTTATTTTATTTTATTTCAATTATGAAACTGTTCTTATCTCAACCCATGAGGGTTTTTTTCACTTCTACTCTTCTGATTCTCTCCCCCATCCCACTGGGGGGGGAGTGAGCAAGCAGCTGTGTGGTGCTTGGTTGCCAGCTGGGGTTAAACCACAACATGTGGTCTGGCCTCTGGGTATAACTGACAAAACAAAACTATCTAAAAGCACGCATGAGGAAATGGCAGAACACTATTAGCACTGCTTACCATGCTACTTTGCAAATATTGAAACAACAAGTTGGAAATACGCACAATATTTCATCAGCAAGTCTCCAAGTAAAGTAACTGTTCAAATTAATTCTTTCCTAATTAATCTAAACCTCAGTAAAAGGAAGACTGTTGCTTAGTGTCTCTTTGACATCCTGACTTGCAGTTTTCCTTGGGCCTCTGAGCAGGAATCAGACTGTGCAGAGACACAGAGATAGTTTACTGAATTCTCAAGGACAGACCATTCTCCCAGATTAAACAATATTCACTCTCTGTCAAAAGCTCAACTTCAGAACTGCCAAAGCATGAGGAGAATGAGGTGTTGCTTAGACCTTTCCGTGCATGACAGGATAAAATGCAAGACTTCTCTGCCTAAAGGAATCCAGATAATGAAATAATCTTTAATCTTTGTCCCTTCAAGGCACTCTCAACACCTGTTATCCTTGATACTGTCACAGGCAAAAAAGTGTGTGAATTCATCTCAAGGCTGGTAATTATTTCAGCTAATTACTCATTTGGATGTGGGGTGATTACCAATGCTCCTTCAGGTGCAACACTGGCCACTTTTATTCTAGCTGATGTTTCACAAAGCAGGAGAGTTGCTGTTCTCCCCTTCTCCGTTCTTACGGAAAGATGAACTCCCAAGCTATTTAAAATCTGTACTGCAGTGAAACATCCTGGCCAAGCAGTTAAAACCAAATCTTCAGCAATTCATTTTACAGTCAAATATTACTACTTCATTCAACCTTATTACATGCAGCAATATCTCAGTGTTCACTACCTTTCTGGATGAGTATTTTTATTGTACCCCATTCCCATACCACCCTTTTCTCAAGCCAGAATCACCTTTACCTCTATAAATATGAACCAGATGTCTAACTAATGTGTTTTAATTTGACTTTTTTCTTCCTAAATCACTGGTGGTTGCAAATCACAAATACTCATGATGAACAGACAGCAAATACGTGCTGGAATCCCGCTTGATGGCAAATCAAGCGGGATTGACAGCAAATCCCACAAAATGGCATTTTGGTGCAGCTCTGCTAAGGCTCAAAATGTGGGAAGTTCAGTTTTATGAGCACAAAGATGCCATGACAGTGCCTTTTCTTCATAACTTCAAAACTCTTTCAGACAAAAACTCCTTTCCAGGCCCTTCTTGAGACCACATGCTAAAACCAGCCCAAGTTGTCTTCTTGGTCTGATGAAGAGCTCAGACTGCTTCTCCTCTTCTACAAGCTACGTCTTTAATAAGTGCTTTACCTCTACCCACCCAGGCAAATATCAAGCAAATGTTTCTCAGCCTTCAGCCAGAGTGAAAGTATATAGCTATGTCTTAGTGCGGAGACTGCTCATTTGTCTCAGCTACTAATTTCCAATTTGCAGCAGTTCAGATGAGTTGGTGACTGTTATACTCAGACCCAAACAGAGTTTGGTCCAACCACAGAAGTATTTATGAAGAATACTACTTATTTCTGAAAGGTGATGTTTGGTACTGGTCTTGAGGAAAGATTTTCTTTTTCCAAGTTCTTAAATTCTGGTGGACACAACATTGAATCCAGACTCTGAAATGAGTGCTCATGCAAGAGGAAGAGCATAAGCATTTCCCCAATTATCAGACTCTGATACTGTAGGAAAAAATCACAGATCCATCCAATGCAACCACAGCGAAAGAGGATCCTCTTCCCTCACCTCATTGCCATGGAACAAGGAATCCTCTCTCTCCCCTCTTTGTGCCAGAGGAGGGCTGTGGAGCCTCCAACTCTAGAGGTATTCAAAACTTGACTGGACAAGGCTATGAGCAACCCTATCAAGCTCTGAAATCAACCCTGCTTTCAAAGGTTCCTCTCAACTTGAATTATTCCATGGTCTTCTGTATTTATTGGAGGTATTGGTATTACTGGAGGTGCACCTGTCTTTTCTTGAGGCATGGGTATAAATAAGCCAGTCAGTTGAAGGTCACGAGCCTCTTTTTCCAGAGCATAACTGCTGGGGGCAGGAGGGAGTGGGCAGAAATACCCAGGGCCCAGGCAGGGAAACTACTCAACAACCAGCTATTATTCAATCAGCACACGGCTAACATTCAACAAAGGAAAGGCAGCAGCAATAGAGGGTCTGCTCAGCTTGAATTTCCATTCATGTGTCTGTACAAACAGCAGCACAGGTCTTTCAGCACTGCTTTTCTCCACAGTAGGCCAAGCTTTTTAAAATTTATATCTCAAAGAGAAATAAAGGAATAGTATATTCCCCATTTCTGAGAGAAATCTCCTTAAAGATTTGTTCAAAATAATAATCAAAATATTTTTTACTTGGAAAGAAGAACTTGGAAACAGGAGAAAACAGATTATTTTTATTTAATTGTCTTTAGTTTTCTAAATGTTTAGTTACATAAAAACACAGTACCATAAACCAATCATTTTAATGCACAATATAGCACATTGCTTTGATTTTCCTTTTTAATACTCACCACTCGAAGACTGCTTCAGGTTCTTAAATAATTGGGAAGACAAGTGTAGCCCCTCAGAATCCAGTGGTCATTAGCAGCTAAAGATTGTAAAGAGCTGCACTGCTCCAAGCAGCAGAGTGGTTTTATACTCTTAAAGAGGCAATTAATACTTCTGTATTGTTTTGTTCTCATCAGTTTGAGAATTGTCTGTTCTCAAACTAGAACAATGGTCTAGTCTGCTATCAAGTGAGATTCTTTGCTGGCTGATTGGTATCTTCTGACATGTCTCACACAGAAGGGATACAAGATGGGAAAGAGAAAAGTAGCAAATAGTCTGTAGACTCTAGGTCTGCTCCCCCTAAAATAAAAAAGTCCTTTAAGAGCCACCGATCAGTAGCACATTCCCTCGACATTAGCATCAGTACTACATTCTCTACAGCACCTAGCTTTGCCTGGAAGGTAAGTGTACAAGGGTGGAATTCTTCATACTATGTTTAGGCGATTAATATTATACTTATATCACCACGTGTCTCTGCAGGACATGATCTCTGCTCTCCCCGTACTTCAGCTCACATTCTGACACCACCACAGGAATTCCTCTTTTTTTCTGCTTACTTTCTACAATATAGAGTCACTGCCCTTTGACCCTCTGGCTATTCTTCCTATCATACTAAACACATTCATCTCACTGTTTCTAACGGTTCTGATCTTGTTCTTCATCTGTTAGCTGGTCAAAGCAGAGTGAATTGTGGCCACTGCCATCAATATCCGATCCTTTCCTCAAGAAATTCTCTCCAACCTACTAGTGCCTAGAGTATTCCTAAGGACCCTCAATCTCTTCCTGCAATTGTTATCCTTATTCTGGTCCGCTTTCTGCTCATCTGCCCCCTGAAGAAGTATCTTGGGATGTACAAAGAAAGGCGATTTATTCCTTGCCAGGAAACCTGCTTTCTCTTTTCTGATCTCACAACTACAGGCATCACAGGCTTTCAGTTCCAGTACCTTACTCCCTGTTCCTTGCTTTCAATTTTTATTAATCAGCTGGGAGGATTTTCTGGAATCCAATCTCCCAGTAAAAAGCCTGCATTTTCTCTGTATCTCACCTCAGAAATTGTCCCTTTTGTCTTCTTCAGCTATCAAAGATCTGGTTGGTGTCCTCAGGATTCTTTAACCTGGTCTTTCTTCGGATGTTACCTCACTCTTATTTGGTCAGAGTATTAATCAGATAGTACACTTATCAAAAAGGCTTTGTTTAACAATGACTAACTTACCATGGGGGACAGCTCAAATGTAAGGGTAAACCAAAGTGGGAGCACCTGTTTATGGAAGATAAGGTAACACCTTCCTTGCATAATATGAAGACAAGGCTAAAGTGAGTCTTGTGGGACACCAGGAAGATGGAAGCAAGTGTACAATGCTAATCTATAGGATGTCTCAAACAGAGAAACAGTCAGTTCTCTGCTCTATAATCAACAGGAGGTCCCAAGTGCTTTGTGCTGAAGCACTTCAGCACTGTAGTTCAGCTGGAAACATCCCAGTTTTCAAATTAATGTTCTTCACTGACTGAGTGAGCTGAGTGACTGAGTTCTTATTACATCAGTTCTACAACTGCATGGTCACAGCTCCTTATACATCACACAGAAAGGTGTCAAGCAAAGTATCAACATGGGATGCGCCAGATGTGGAAAATGCATATGGGTCAACTGAAGATATTCCTCTATGTATTAAAATCTGGAAAGTGCGTATACACAAACACATTTTCCTTAGTTTGCTGAATAAACATATGAAATTCTGCTTAGTGTTTCTTTT